AGAGTTTCCAGCTGCAACATTGCATTGCTTCAGATGACTTTGTTGATTATGCGATGAATAATTAAAAGAGGCGTGTAAAGACAAAACAACGCTTGTTTTGGTATTATATATATATATGTATATATATATATATTTTTTTTTTTCACTTGAAAAGGCTTTTTGATATTTAAATTCAAACTTAATAGAACTTTGGAAGTAGAATATTTATGGTTGATGAACAACTAAGCGTTTTGTTGCGGAACTTCTCATTCGCTTGGCAGTTGAGACTTGAGACTAAAAAAGCAAAGGGGAGAGAGAGAATAAATATGACCAAAACATCTATATGGTGTTGACCATGATGTCACAAATTAAACAAACGGCACGGCGGAACATAATAATTGAGAAGGCGATCGTACTAACGGGATAAGATTGAAATTAAATTATTACTAGTTTTTCTTTTCCCTATTTTTCTAGAATCAAGTGTCTCTTATTACCTTTGCAAACAAACAAACAGAAATGAATAAATGAAGTTCAATAGATAACTCTTTAACTTTGTCATAAAACATTTAATTCCTCATAATTTTTCACGTTCTAACGAATTATTCTTCTAATGTTGCTTTAGATGATAAGATGAGCTCCTGCCGTGGCCAATTAATTAATTTCTTAAGGTTTCATTAATTTATGAATATAAAAATTGCCTCTCCTTACACTTTGTGAATTGGTTATATAATAATAGAGTTTGTTAGTACTGTATTTTTTTTTCAAAAAGAAAGAAAAACCTTGGGGTGTGAAAAATTAAAGTGAGATGTGAAATTATCACTAAGTTATATATATATATATATTATGACAATTAATGAAATTAGATTCTTATTATGTTACATCGTCATTAATATTAATTGAATTCCTATTAATTAATGAATTGGAAACGTAGTCATTTAAAAGTCTGTCAATATATATATATCACTTGTTATATGCTATAATTTGTTACACTTTTAATTAAATTCGAAACTAGCTCTAGCTGATCATATTAATTTATATTATTGTTGTTGTTGCTCTTGTTATTGCTCAAAAATGGAAGAAAGAAATATTAACTGTGCCGGCGGAATATTTTTGACTAATTTATACAGCTTCCCTTCCTCCTACTTTCTTTCACTTTCCATTATTTTCAGCCGCAGAATACTTTCTGAAATCTATTGTATAGTTTGAGTTATATATTCTGGCATGGAGTTCGGAGTTCAAACAAATATTCTTACAATATTATATGTACGTATATACGGATTTTGGTGCGCTAGCCAAACAAAAAAAAAAAAAGAAAAAAATAAGAAGAAGGAGAAAAGAAATAAAAAAAAAATCTGAAACAAATCAAAGAGGAATAAAAAGAAGAGAATTTCATTATCAACTTTAAGCTACATGCATACGATAAAAATTAAAGACCAGCAAAAGAGTACATGTAATATAATATCAACAAAACTTCATTAATAAAGGAAAGTGGGTAGAATACATATTGAACAGTACTCTATATATGCATGTATATGATATCTCTATTATCATTCGATAATTAAGATTTACAAGAAATCGCTGATGTCCAAACTCTCAGGGATTTCAAACTTCAACAAGTTGCTGCAGTAGCTTTCTCTCTCGTCCTCGGCGCCACTGTTGACATTCGTCGTCGACGAGGAATTCAACGGAGTTGGGCTTGATGACGGCGTCGACATAACAGAATCGAAGCTGAAATCCTTGTTGCTGTAGTCGAACAAGTTCTGGAAATACGAACTTTCAGCTGGTAGATCATGAGCAACAAGATTTTCAGCTAAAGTAGTAGAAGGAATATTAGTACCAATCACATTATTAATATTGTCTTGGGTAGTAAGGTTTGTAGTACTTGTCACGTTGTTCGATGATAACCCTTGATGATCAACATTAATCAGAGCTGATTGGACGGGATTTTGGAATTGATCATGATTAATGTCATCATGATTTGGCTGTAATGATGGGAATGGTTGGTTTTGTTGCATATGAAGGAGCTGGTTTTCTGGAAGACTATTGTTATATTGGGAAATAATTTCCGGGTTTTGATGTTGTTTAAGGGATAAGATTGTGGATGCAAGCCTTAGGAGTTCAGGATTGAAAAGGGATTGTGTGGAAGTAGCACCCAATAAGGTTGAGAGATTGAGAAGTGATGGGTTGCATAAGGAGGAGCCAATAATAGACGAGAGATCAAGAAGATCAAGGCGAGGAGTGTGAGTCACAGGATCAATCCCCATTCGGAGAAGTCTTTTTCTTATGTGGGTGTTCCAGTAATTCTTGATTTCGTTGTCAGTCCTTCCCGGCAAGCGAGCTGCAATGGCTGACCACCTAATTAATATAAACAAAACTTAATTAGTTATTGGAGGGTCCAATTAATCAGATGTACATTATACAAGATTTATATATATATATATATATTAGTAAGGGATAAAATATATACTTGTTTCCCAAGACGCTGTGTAGTTGGATAATTGCCTCTTCTTCTTCAAATGAGAATCTTCCTCTCTTGATATCAGGTCTCAAGTAGTTAGTCCATCTGAGGCGGCAACTTTTCCCACATCTTTGAAGCCCTATAATATATAGACGATGAACATTAATTGTAAATCATGGCATAATTATAAGACAACAAAACGCTTGAAAAAAAAAAAAAAAAAAAAAAGCGTTCTTTGGGTAGAAAACTTGAACTGAAACTCAAATTTTTATTTAAGAAAGAAAAAGAAAGAATTGTGATTAATTAATCGAACTATGAGAAGAACGAGGCTAAACATTCTTGTTAATTGTACCTGCATTCTTAGGGAGGTTTTGCCAATTTCCTGGTCCATGCTTCTGAATATAGTTGACAAGCTTGAGATCTTCTTCAGGAGTCCATGGACCTTTCTTAAGTCCATTTTTGTCGCAGCATGGTGCTCTTCCCATTTTCTTAACTTCTTTTTTTTCTTCCCCCGGTTTGTGGTCCTGTGGAGGACTTGCAAAATTTCTATGGATTGGAGAAAATAGAGGTTTTGCTTGTTATGACCTTCTAAAGATAATAAGTAGAAATTGCTGCTCCAAAAGGAAGAGGTGACGATCATCTTTATACTTGAGGATGATCAAACTTGACATAAGTCAAAGAGATTTGGTGCCGGCCTCATGCCACGTGTACTTTGCTATGCACTTTTTCTTTGTTAGTGTGTATTTTACACATTTAACTTCTATTGACCTTTTGTTTTAGGACCATTTTGTCGCGTGGAAAATTGTGGCCGATAAGAGCAATCATATTCTGCCTCCTCTCTCTGCTTGACGTATTTGGCCACGTTGACTATGCAAAAAAACGTTATTTGTCTCAATCTCAATTGCAGTAAAAGGTAAAAAGAAACTAATTAAGTTAGCCAATATTTTCTTTTGATTCTTTGGTAGCCTGACGTATCGGTATGTCAGGTTTTTTTAACTGTTAGATCAGCGTACATTTTGATTTTTATGTGATTTTATGAAAATTCAACAGATAGAAAATCTAACATACCGATATCTTAGCGTACCGCTTTTCTTTTGTTTGAGGTGGATAAATGCCATCACTATAGTGATTTAATATTTATTTATTTAAAAAGTTTCACATTGATCTTGTCATTATCCTAATGGCTTGTAGACAACCTACATTATCGATTATTTGACAAGCTTATATATTTTATTTTAATTGTATCCTTTAAAAGGAAAGCTTTTGTCATGTCTAAAAGTTAGTACATTTCCTACCCTAAAAAAAAGGTTAATATATCTCCTTTAGAATAATATTCTTGGATTTGTTTCTATTTTTTAAAACGGAAATAGTAGAAAATATGTCAATATGAAAAGCTTAAAAAAGTATATAGGCCAATTTTTAGTTATAGAAATTAATAGGCCATAACTTGTCAAGTTATGGTTCATAACCAGATAAGTTATGGACAAACTTGTCAAGTTATGGTTCATAGCCAGAGTAGTTATGGACAAAAACCGTAAATTATGGACAATAACTTGTCAAGTTATGGTTCATAACCAGACAAGTTATGAACAAAAAATAGTAATTTGGCCTAGTTATTAACTTATGTAAATTATTGACCTATTAATTTTAATTCATTTCGAGTCTTGACCTATTTCCCTCTCTCTCCCTTTTTAAAAATGTTCACCTGATTATGCGGGCCTTATTTATGGAGGCGTTACTCTGTGATGACATACACGTACAAATATGTTGGGTAGTTAAACTATCCAAAGCAATTATGCTTTTACTATTATATGATTCCAGTCAATATGTTATGTTTTACATTAAGTTTTTTGATGTTATTCATGGGATCTTCTTACATAATCAAATCTAACGTTACATACGTGTCAGACACGTTTAAGAAAGGAGACTAGCCGAAGAAAATGAAGAAGCACTAAAAGGTTGTACTTGGTATCATCGGGGTAATAACGGTAATAAAGTTTTAATAAAAAAAATTATCAAAAAAAAAAAAAAAAGAAAGAAAGCAGAAGAGCTCCTAGCTGTCTGATTTTTAACTTAAGAGTTGACATTTTTGTTGTTCTTCTCTTTTACATACTTGAGGTGAGAATGATTGGGTGGTACGGTAGTTATGCCTACTATCAACAATTTAGGAAAATATTTCTACAGTGTGCATTAATTCCTTGTTCATGATCACTTTCGACGAAATTTCTGAAATTACTTGTAACATCAAACATGTATAAAACTATATATATCTTTTTTTTTTTCCAGTTTCTGTTTTCTTTTCTTTGTCTTTTTTCTTTCTTCTTTTGAAGTAATTAACTACGATCTCCTAATATATGATGAAAAGAATACGTGTTGTTTTTAGGGAAAAAGTATCTAAAAACAAAAAGGAAAAAGCAAATAAATAAGAAAGGCAAAGGAAAGAGTTCCATATAAGATTACTCATCTCATTAAGTTACCATGATGTTGATTAAGTTCTCATCAATTTTTTTATTCATCTCAGCTCCCTCTTTCACATTAATGTTCCACATCTTTTGATTGAATAATAATGAACGGAAACAGAAGCTTGGTAGTTAAATTTGTCTAATATTTGGAATATACAAAATAATGCTTAACTATTCTATAGGTATCAATCAATAAACAAATTAAGGTTTTTGAAGTAAAATTCATTTATTCACTTGCACATTGCGCTATCTTTTGTCTTATTCCATGCTCCAAATTTGTGTAGCTGATCAAAACAAAATGACTTAGTGGAGTACGTACAGCGATGTGCTCTGAAACATGAATTTCACATATATCACCAAATTCGAATATATGATTAATTTCCTATATATATATATATATATATATATATATATATGCTTCCCAAACTATAGACCTTAAGTTGCCCCAAATTTTTTAAACGGAGTCATTGCACACCTTCCATACAGATCTGTCGATTGATTAATATAGATGTAACTAACTATAGTTTTATATTCAATAAATAAAATGTAATTTTATAAATAACAATAGTAAAAAGGGGATGGTCGATCAGCGGGTCGCGACGGTAGAAGTAGGGTAATTGGGTCATGTGAAGTAGTGTAGTGATCACTATTAAAAAAAAAAACTAGAGGATAAGTTGATCAATGATTCGTGAGGTCCTTATAAAACTACATTTAGTGTGACGTCAACTTTCCATTAATATTATAAACAGATTTAGGGCTCGTTTGATATATGGGTTTAATTTAGGGTTATTGATTATGACTTTTAAAATTTAAATTTTTTGTGAGAGTAAAACATTATAATAGAACTAAAACCATGAGTTTACACTATAGCAGAACTCATGTATCAAATATACACTTAGATATGAGGAATGTGTTGAAGGATTTAATATTGTTGAGAGCGTGGAATGACACCTTTAATTAAAATTTTGAAATTGAAGTTCGTGACACAATAATGTTCATAGTTCAAAGGACATTCATACAAATAATTCTTAAAATATGAAGTCCTCATATAGGCTAGAAATCTATAATCTATAACTAAAATAAAATCCTAGAAAATGTAGTTGATCCCATTAGCATGTTGTACCATAAGGCTCCAATAATCCAAGCTGGAATATATTTTAAATTACGACCAAAAGAATCAGGCCACGTAGCACCTAGTGACAGTGTCTTTCCTACTTTCCCAGTAAAGTCAACGATCCCCCTACCATTTTAACTAAAGCAATCTGAGATTGATAAATGTCCATTATTATAAAATGTTGCTTTGTATGTATGGATAGCCTGCAAGGCTAGAACTCCTCCTGGGAAACCAAAAATTCAAAGTCCTTGAAAATCAGGTGATGCCATTCATCAACCATCCATCTAACAAAAGAGAAATTGGGTCAAATACTTTTTTATTCTTAATTAAGCACTAGGGTTTGCCTTCCAAAGGTCAACCTGCTTCTGATATCTTGCTTGCCTTGCTTTACATTAATTTATCACCTTTCATTGATTTAATTTCTTTTGTTCCCTTCCCAAATTTACAAAAACATTCTAGAAGCACATCAACATCTGCTTAATTCTTTTCTCCTCTCTAATAAAATCTATTAGTGTCATTAATTACTTCTTAATACATATGACCAGAGTCATGTTTTCATCATAATTTAATTTCAACATACGTACGTAGCAAATATCAACAATACTATGTACATGTGTTATCAATTAGTAACTCTAATTTAATTAATGATGATTAATATAATTAAGCCATATGTAATCATTTATACTTCTCTATCTGTCTCCCTGCTGGTGTCTTGACAAACACATATTTTTATCCTTCTTTTAACACATGTGATGACGTGTGCTTATGTAATCATCTGCTTTCTAATATTTTCTTGTTTTTTTAATTACTTCAATAAGAAAAAAAATAAATATATGAAGAGTGTAGATGATCGTGTCGACTCTCTTTTGCGTTTTTGTGGCTTTATTTCCATGCGGCTAGACTATGGTCGTTGAAAGTTTATGTAATAGTGTGCGTCACCATTAATAATCGATTTCTTTTAGGATTTTGTTCTTAAACTGTGTGTCTGCTTACATAACATACCAATTAAATCAATTACTTGTCACCAATATAGAGTTTGCTTCTACGTTCGAGCTAATTACATAATTAGTTTACATGTACAGTCATCGAAATCTTTAACGTTGACCGCAATATATTAAATAAATGGTGGTTAAATTTATGTCGGAAAATCCAACAAACTTTGAATCTTACTGGTTTTGTTTATTATTCACATTTCCATGCATTTTCTTTACTAATATTTCAAGCGTTCGCATAGTACTCCAGGGTATTAATAAAGATGTCAGACGTGATCTAAGTTCTGTGGATGGAATGAAATCACTAATATTCTAATTTCTATGCACTTTATGCAAATTGTTTATAACACGTAGTAGTACTTAAAAAATATATTTTTCATGTTCGTAGTTCTCCGTACTAATAATAAAATGTAATAATTAGATTGCATGGTGTACCTCTAAGCACTAATATATACATATAGAGTAACACAATGTCGCTGGCATCAACTTTTTGTCAGTTGTTGAATTTTACATGAACACGTGGTTTGATATTGTGGTGCATGCTGAAGTATGAGAAATGCATAGGAAAATTACACGTAGAGAGGAAGTTAATTTGCTGGTCGATTGATCGATCAGACGTATATATAATGTGTGTTGATAAACTGATTTTCTTGGTGGCAGTGCTGGACCTTGAAGATAATGCCACTAGGATATGGGTGTTCGTGGGAAGTTTTAAATTATATTGATTCTGCAGATTTTTCAGTTGAATTAGAGGACCAATTATTCAAAAAGCTTAACACGTGGATGGAAAGTGAGCCGCTGATATATTAGCCCTTCATATATTTTAACATCTACGTTTTACACGTTCCTTTTTTTTTTTTTTAAATTCCTTTACATGCCCCTTTTGTTAATATTATACCATCTTTTAATTGATATGA